ACTGCCTTGCTAGATGACGCGGTGCCGCTGGCGAGCCAAATGACCTGATGCCTGGTGACCCGATGCCCGCTGTCGAGCCAGATGATCCAATGTCTGACCCAGTGCCCGTGGTCATGCCAGTTGACTCGGAACCCACTGTCATGCCTGGTGACTCGGTGCCCACTGCCTTGCTAGATGACGCGGTGCCTGCTGGCGAGCCAAATGACCTGATGCCTGTTGACCCGATGCCCGTTGTCGTGCCTGATGACCCGGCGCCCGCCGCTCCGCCTGGGGGCCCCGTCGCCCGCCGCTCCGCCTGGGGGCCTGGCGCCCGCCGCCCCGCCTGGGGGCCCGGCGCCTGTCGCTCCGCCTGGGGGCCCGATGCCTGTCTCTCCGCCTGGGGGCCCGATGCCTGTCTCTCCGCCTGGGGGCCCGATGCCTGTCTCTCCGCCTGGGGGCCCGATGCCTGTCTCTCCGCCCTGGGGGGCCCTGTCTCTGCCGCCTGGGGGCCCGATGTCTGTCGCTCCGCTGCTCCGCCTGGGGGCCCGATGCCTGTCACCCCTCCTGGGGGCCCGGCGCCCCGCCTGGGGGCCCGATGCCTGTCGCCCCTCCTGGGGGCCCGATGCCTGTCGCCCCTCCTGGGGGCCCGATGCCTGTCGCCCCTCCTGGGGGCCCGGTGCCTGCTGCTCCGCCTGGTGGCCCGGTGCCCGCTGCTCCGCCTGGTGGCCCGGTGCCTGCTGCTCCGCCTGGTGATCTGGTGTCCTGCCCGATGTGCCGCTGCCCGGAGTCCTGCCCGATGTGCCGCTGCCCGGAGTCCTGCCCGATGTGCCGCTGCCCGGAGTCCTGCCCGATGTGCCGCTGCCCGGAGTCCTGCCCGAGGTGCCGCTGCCCGGAGTCCAGCTCGATGTGCCTCTGCCCGATGTGCCGCTGCCCGGAGTCCTGCCCGATGTGCCGCTGCCCGGAGTCCTGCCCGATGTGCCGCTGCCCGGAGTCCTGCCCGATGTGCCGCTGCCCGGAGTCCTGCCCGGTGTGCCGCTGCCCGGAGTCCTGCCCGGTGTGCCGCTGCCCGGAGTCCTGCTCGATGTGCCAGTCTTTGATATCCCGCCAGTTACCAGACCCGGGCGGTGGAACATTTTGCCCAGCTAGGACTGTTTGGAGCGTCCTGAGGCCGCTCCTTGAGGGGGGGGTACTGTCAGGAATGGACTTGCCAGTAATGGTGGGACTCACCTGCCTTGTGGGCTGCAGTACCAGGGCTGGCCAGCGGGTGCTCCCAGCAATCAGAGACTCAACCCTGCAGCCAGCCAAACACCTGAAGTTGATTATACAGGTGTATTTAAGGGATGGCCAGACCTGCAGTCTCTGCCTTGGTGTGTGTTTTTCCTGGGCCCTGTATCTTGTTCCTGCATCCCTGTTCCTGTTCCTGTCCCTGTCTCTGGCTGATTCGTTGCTGACCCTGCCTGATCCGGACCTCTGCTGACTTCTCCTGTTTCATCCCTGGCTTGTGACCCCGACCATTCTCCGCCTGACCCCCTGTACCTACCTGCCCGATTGTTATTGACCCGGCCTGCCTGACGACGCTTGCATTGTATGTACTGTTATCTGTGGGTGGTTTGGTTTGGTTCGTTTGCACTGTGTGATGTTTTAGTATTGCACTGCGTTTATGTTTGTATTGTTAGTCTTTAATAAATTATATTGTTTATAACTTATCTGAAGCCTGCGTTTCCCTGCGTCAGTCACATACCTCTGGTCACACCCCGGAGCCCTGACAGTGTCTGAATTCAGTCCTCTGTAGGTTGATAATTTTCATTTCCATCAAACGATGGGGCAAACTTACATTTCTAACACATTACCCAGCAGGGGTCGGACAGACCATTTGGAAACTCAGGCACTGCCCGAGGGCCTGGGGTCAGTAGGGGGCCCCATGAGATGCCCCTGGTACCTTTTTCATAGGCTTTTTTGAGTTTGGGCAAGGACACAGGGGCCCCATGATCCCCTATGCCCGGGGGCCCCATGAGTTGTCAGTCTGCCCCTGTTACCCAGTCCATATCAGTACAGATATAAAGTATAATATTTTTCCTCATTGAGATCTGATGTGTCTTCAAAGTGTTCCTTTAATTTTTTTGAGCAGTGTATATGAAAATCTGCAACTCTCATTTAAGTAATCCTACGCTACCTGAAATCCTGACTACCCCTTGTACCAATCTACTAGCTATGCTCCTCTGTTTTTACCCTGTTACATATGCTTCTGATGAAGACTCTTAGGCTAGGTTCACACTGCTGCAATTTGGATTTGACCATTATGTTGCACAATTTGAATGCAACTTTTATAAGGTTTGTATATTCTACGGGGCCAAAATCACATTGGATTTGCATCAAAGTTGTACAGGAACCTTTTCCAAACTCGCTCCGTGCTGAGATACACTGACATGAATGGGCACCATTGAAAATTTCCCTTGTCAAGTGATTCTGTGCATCTCAAGGCGCATCTGAAATCTCACTAGTGTGAACTAGTACTAGGTTACCATTTCAGCACACATTATGCAGGCATTGTCTATGGTAGTCATCCTCTGGAAGGTCATGGAGCCGTCAGTGAAGGGCATATATACAGAAAGGAATTGGCTGCAAAAAGTCTGTAGGAGGCTGCAGTTCTGAGATGCAATATATTTATTTTTATTCATTACAGTAAACATAAACAAAGAGCCTTATTACACTTTCCAAACATATACTTATTGTAAATTAGACATACATACTGCACGTTATTTACTGATCACTGAAGATTCACTAGATTGCATCTTTCCTGATCCTGCTTAGTGCTTATAATCCCTATCCTTGTATTTGCATCATGATAAATTGCTGCAAAAATGTATATACCGTATATAAACAGATAACTGATTCAGCTCATGCATTTTGTGCTCCAGCTAATCTAAGGTTACTTTTTCGGGAAGAGCTTCCGTCAGCTCAGCAGGTGAAAAAATGAATGAATTTTAAAAAGTTAATTGTAAGTCGGGTCAGGGGATATGTTTGCATTCACACATTTTAGATATGCTGTCAAATTAACATGGGTGTTTACTGTAAAGTTAAAGTATAATAGATCATTATTTTCCTGCTCCTGTCCTCCAGGGCACCTGTAGTGTTAGAATATTTTTAGCCATGCACTATTTATAGTCACTGTACTCAGTGTGGGGCTAAAATGAAACTTATGCACTAGCTAAGTGCAGCATTCCCTTAGTTAAGGAACTTGCTTAGCATAAAAATAGGAAAAAAATGGAATCAGCAATATAAATTGGATCATGAAAAAAGTTTGCATTCATTTTCTAAATGTTATGTGAGTATGAATGAATTCTATTTGAAGTTTAGAGCACACACATAACTAATATATCACTATAATTTACATTTTCTCCGAATAGGAGAAAAGTGTGCAGCACATTATTCATGGTGATCAGAGATGGACTATGTTTTCACCATTTTTTTTAAGCCGCTCCACTTGACAGTTATATATTTAGTAATAACAGATAGCATCTCTCAAAGTGAATTCTGCCTCTGAATCAGTGGGGCTGAGGCCTTCTAAGGCAGCCGTCTGCATCAGGGAGCCTTACTTCTGTATTGCTAAGGTAACGGTATATAGTGCTCCCCCCTAAGGTGATGCTGAATTTTGGGTCCCCGTTTCCTGCACGGCCAAGTAACAACCATTTTTGGCAAACACACAAAGTCAAGAATCCAGTCCATGGGCTTGTTTTTTGTTGTTTTATTTAGAGGAAAACAACTGTGATAGGGTTAGGGGTTATGGGATGCCCAGTCTGACTAGAAGAACAGATTGATGACCAACGTTCTGCATTTATGTCCCTTTAAGGATCAATACCAAAGTGACTTCAGTAGCAATAAGACTTAAGGAGCTCTAGGTCCCCTTGGGTGAACTCCCACAAAGTCGCAATGGATGATGAGGAATGCCATTCCACCTGGCTGTTTTGCAAGAATCCCAGAGCAAGGGATTAGGTTAACTGTGACACTGTCCCTGTGAAAGCATGCTGGATATTGCAACTGGCAGCCTTCTTGCTTATAGGCCATGGGGTTGTAGAGGTACTCACTCTGTCCCTTTGTATCCTTCAGTTTGGCATAAGACTGCTTGTTCAGACCTTTTAGCTATGCTAGTCTTCCATGCTGTGCAGGGTACCCTCTGGATAGAACTTGTGGTACAGTTCCCTCTGTCTAAACTTCCTCTCCTTCCTCCTCCTCAGCTCCACCCTAGAGGCAGAAACCCTTTTCCCCCAGGGTCCCCTCTCAGGCCTCACGATCCCCAACACTCCATCTTCCACCCAATCACTAGACTCTCATGCTGGCTATCCTCTCTTATGTTTATGGGCCCTTCTGCCACACTTCCAGGTCTCCTGCGTGGGATTGGTCAAACTTCCATGAATACGCAGAGCCCTCCAGCCTACCTAAGGTAACCCAAACATACAGGCTAACTTCACTACTGTGAGCCAATTAAATGTAACTCTCTAGCACCCCTAGAGAGCGCAACAGGTATTCATTGCTTCTTGAGTCCAGTCCCAAGTCAGTTCCTCAGGAAATTTTCCTTTGTCAACTGTAAGAGTGACACAATCTGCTGCGGGGGGGTGTCTAGGGATGAGATAATGATTTGATCTATTTGGGTGTTCTGGCACACACCCGATCATTTAACCATCTGGCTAAAGTATTACTACTATGATTATATGTGGCAGCTTCCCACTGTCAATGGTTGTTAAGGATGGCAGTTGCTGCAGGCACCACCGAATCCTCAAAAACCAGTGACATCACTGGCCACATTCACTTACATGCTTAGGAATCCTCAGCCATGTAAGGAAAAGAGCTGGCAAGAGTTTAAAAAAAACATTGTGAGGATCTCTCCTAAACCATACCATGCCCTCCTGGTTTGGTATGAATTTTTAAAAAGCATGAGGTCCCTCCCAAAAATATATATTAGACCCTTATCCAAGTAATGCAGTCTGGTGGCATAGGATGGGGGAAGCGTGTTAACCCCCCAAAAACTATACAAGGTCACATGCCCTCAACATGAAGGGATCCCCTGGTATATCATCTTGCCTCCATGTTGATGAGGACAGAGGCCTCCTCCCCACAGTCCTAGTTCAGTGGTTGTGGGGATCTGCAGATGAGGGGCTTGTCAGAATTTGATAGCCTCCTTTAATAATAAGGGGGCCCCCAGATACTGTGCCCCAGTGTGAATGAGTAAAGAATACATAGTATTTCTACTCATTCACAAACAAAAATCTGAAGTGTAAATAAGTTCTTTTTACTGTAAATCTTTTACATACAAAACAATAGGTGCAAGTCCTTTATTAAAAAGCCCGGCAATGGGGTCGATTCACTAAAACTGGAGAGTGCAAAATCTGGTGCAGTTGTGCATGGTAGCCAATGAGCTTTTAACTTCAGCTTGTTTAATTAATCTTTGACAAAAAAAACCCTGGAAGCTGATTGG